CTCCAGGTAGGCCATGTAGTTTTCGTGCTCTCGATACCTCTCTTTTTTCAGCTCACGATCCTGATCGGCCGACAATTGTGGGTCCGAAAGCACAGCCATGCTGAATTGGAACTCTTCCTCCTCATCTTTTCGTTTGGCCTCTCGATTCGCCTCAATTTGAACAATAAACTGACGCCGAAGCTCATCTCGTCTCGCCGCCCGGCAGGCGTTCGACTCTGCACTTTGTTCAGCCTCTTTGGGCAGAGTGGAAGTCTCCAACTCGTCTGGCTGCAACAGAATTTGCTTGAGTTCTTCTCGTTTCTGTTCCTGCTTTCGGGCCATCTCCTCTTTGTACCATTTGGCCAGTTTCAGGTTCTTTTCTCGGTCAACCTCTTTTCTTTCATCGTTCTCATTAAATGATTTGCTCAAAAAGCGTGGACTCAGGTTGTCCAATTGTCTCTCCAGGTCCGCGTTAAACTCCAAGTCAGCTCGTCTCATTTCTAGAATGTGCACTCTGTCTTTGTGGATTTCCTGTTCATGCAAGTCAATTAGTTTTGATCGGAATATGTCATTGTTTGTTCTTTTTCGTAATTCCTCCTTCTCGTCAGCCAGTTTCTGCCTCTCATTCTCCTGCTCGTTGCGTAGCCTAGAGGCTTCTTTAATCAGGCGCTCACGAGCCCTCTGTTTGTCCATGTTCATCTGTTGTGTAAAATCCTCGGCCAGTCGGTTTTTCTCCTCGGAAATCAGACCTGCCATTCTCTCACGTCTTTTGCACAATTCCTCCTGCTCCTTTCTCTTTATCTCCAGCAAACGAGCCTTTACAACCGCATCGATACCCTTTGTCTGGTTCTGTGCAAGCCATTTATTTCGATTTGTATTGTAGTTGTAATAATGTACCGGATCTTCTTCCATATCGAAGACTTTCTATCCGGCCGGTTTTCCCAGTTGTCTTCAAAGCTCTCTCAGCCACGCACTATTGCCCAGCATGAGCTCACTCGCAAGAGAAGTCGTGGCTGAATAAGCTGCCGGTGCTATCGATCGTCGCGTGTTCCAAGAGCCAGTGAACTCATTCGAATTGGCCCCCTTGAGCGCAGACGTCGGAGGACGGACTGTTAAGATTAGAGGGTTCTGGATCGGCATTAGCTGAGTGCAGGTCGACTTATATCATCATCCCCACATTCTGCATCTTCACTTGACATACTGAAATTACAGCGTACTTTTCAGTTGGTGTGAAAAGCTCTTTTGGTCAGCCCCAGAGCCGGAGACCTCATGCCGTAGGCAATTTTTTATAAATATGCAAGTGGTTTTACCTCATTTTGCAACTTAGTTGAGTCTTTAAGGTGGCCTAGATGAGTGCATCTTGCCCAAAGTTATATTTCATGGTAGCCACGGTGATTACCAATATCGTAGAAAAAAACCTGGTTTTATAAATGAAGTGTATTCCCCTCGTTTAGTTAAATTTTCTCCCAAAATGATATGAATAGACGTTACTTTACCATTAAGTTTACATAGCCTTGCTTTCCCAAAAGTTATTCTCATTCAGGATGAACTAAAGTTAGCAGCACCTCCAGCGGGACTCGAACCATTCAATGGAAAGTTAAGATCTACTCATATCACTGTGGGAAATAATTCAATTAACCTTAAACAAAATGGACTGACTACACTCTATAAATAGAAGATCTACTGGTAATCTAGAAAACCTAGTTATAAACGAAACATACTAAAAATAATCGATTTTTATAGCAAATACAACATTGCTTTATCGACAATCACACCAAAGAATGTGAATTAAAAAAGGCCTGACCCTCTTGAACTTCACATCTGCCCTGTGACCCAAGGGCATTCGTGGCAATTCGGCATAGGGGTTAGCGCGTAGAGATTACAAACTGCATTGTCATGGTTCTAGTCCCGCTGGGGGTGTTGATAAGACCTGAGCGAGGTCGGAACTGTAGTCCATCCTGGATAAGAATACCTTGTGGGAAATCAAGACTACGCGAAATTTAATGGAAAAGTAACGTATATGCGTATCATTTTTCGTATGTAAGTAGAGTTTTGAGACTACCAGTAAATCAGTAATATGAGATGTATTCAACATATTTCGTTCAAGACGATGAAGGACTGGTAATAGAATTTTCCCACAATCATATGAGTATAGCTGACGTTTCCATTCAATTTCACATAGCCTTGTTCTCCCAAAAGTTGTTCTCATCCAGGGTGTGCTGCAGTTTCTACCCCGCATCGGTCTTATCAACACCCCCAGTGTGAGTCGAACCGTGACAGTGCAGAATGTGAGCTTGACACGTTAACTACTCGGCCACATTGCCACGAGCGGTTAACGTGTCAAGCTCACATTCTGCACTGTCACGGTTCGACTCACACTGGGGGTGTTGATAAGACCGATGCGAGGTAAAAACTGCAGCCCATTCTGGATGAGAACAACTTTTGGGAAAGCAAGGCTATGTGAAATTGAATGGAAACATCAGCTCTATTCAGATCATTGTGGGAAAAATCTACTACCAGTCCTTCATCAGCTCAAATGAAATAGGGTGAATACATCTCATATTCATATCATTGTGAGAAAAAATTCGACTGACAGTCCCTTTATAGCCTTAAACGAGATGGGGTGAATATACTTCATAAATAAATGATCTACCGGTAGTCTTAAAAGCCTACTTATATACGAGATTTGGTTTAGTCTTGTTTCTTTAGCACATTGTAATTTGTTGCTGAGAATGCTAAGTTTCATTAAAGATGTCAAATATGTTGCCGAAGAAATTTCTGGCGATGTATCAACTCCACAGTCCGACGCTGAAAGTTTTCACGACTCCTATTACAGAGTACCCTGAGCAAAATGCTTCCAGCTTTGTCTTTTCGACAATAAGACCAAGTTGCGAAAACGAAGTCAAACCTCTTCTGTGTAGCGAAGGGAGGCCTTTATATTTTCACAGAGAAAATTTGTCAATAAGACTGATAAACAAATTGTAACCTTAATGAACTACTAAGCTATACAATCATAAGCCTATGACTTTTACTTTTTTTCTATTTATGCGAAAATACGCCTACCAACTATCTACTATTACCTTCCAACTACATACGAGTTATTAGTTATTTGTGATCTGACTCCAGAGTGGATGTGCTCCCAAAACCTTCGGTGCTCTATGAGATCGAATAAAAGAGGAGGCGAATGTATTGTATGGACTTAAACCAAGCACTTTTAGTTTTATTTCCGGTACAATATAGAGAACCGAAGAACAGCTATATGGGCTAGAATGGATACAAGATATACAAGCATAAGACTATGACAAAATATATATTTTGTTTGACAGGAAGTGTTATAGGCTCAAGAGCGGAGAAGAAGTAGATAATGGGGAAGACGAGTCGTCAATGGGACGAGTTGTGAGACTCGGTTGACTGCGACACGTTAGAATTAAAAGCCTTCTAGCTCCCAGAGAGCCAAGTATTAGTCCTGGCAACCGAAGAATAGATGAGGCAAGATGCTGCCGTGGTTGTGTGAAGCTGCTTATTATTAGTTGGTTCTCGTTTTCACAACTTGATCTGGGCGACAGGAAGACCATGCGGAAGAGGACTAGTCATGCGTCTTCGGCCAGAGTAATAATGATGATTTCCAGCACCGGAGTCAGCATCATCAATGAAAGGCTCCGCTAACTAACGATGCTGTAGAAACGTCTAGGAATGTACCATCTTAAGGATCCAATGATGAACTATGTCATGAGCATTATGGAAGAAGACGCAGGACTTGGTATGTTCCACAAGGTCTCCCTGTCACTTCAACCAAGTTTCTAAAATGAGATCAAACGAATTCTATAGAGCCAAAGTAAAATGCTACTAAGCCTAAGGTCACAACATTTTAGTCTTTATAAATGCGATCTATGATGTCTGTTTTTAGGGCGTTGATTGTGAATATATCGTCACGTGGAAGTTGTAGTTGAAGTTCCCTCGTCATTCAGATGCTTGACTTAGCTACCTCTTGCTTTTATATGATTGGAGTGACATGAATGTAGGCTGCATGGACAGTGCTCAATCCCTAGGTGGAAAATAAAAATAAATTTAAAGGATGGATGAATCTAGAAAAGAGTTTCCTGCTCAGCGTGTGGCAAGACTGCTTAGTAAGCTGGACTTGTTTAAGTACACTGAGTGTATAGTGTATAGTGGCTTGCAAAGAAAACAAGGAAAATAAATTATAATCTCTAAAAAACTCATATTGGGAGTGGTAGTCCAA